GTGTGACAGTCCAGTTTTCTGAGATGTTTCAGGTCATGCCATGTGAGATGCTTCGGACTCAAACGGGTACATGGGAGAAGGTAGAACAAACCTGTCATGTTTACATAGTTTTACAGTTGCATAGTTCTCGTCAACACATCTCGGGTTTTGGTTAGCAATGTGCATACTTCGCAATATCCTCTTGATCCTTACAGAGAATTACAGAGAAACCCCGCGTAATCCCTATCATCGCCCGGGTCTCGTTAGATTTACCTTAAAGGAGGAGCCATCAGAAAACAGTTGATTAAGTTTCAAGTCACAGCCAGCCACTTGGAGTTTGTCCCAAACTCCAAACGCTAAACCCGACTCCAAGCCTGGAACCCTAAAACCCCAAAGTCTTGTAGAGCCTATGCGGGGCCTCGACAAAGTATGCTCTTCCAGAAAAGCAGCGTCAGCACATGGCTGTTCTAACGGCCCTAAACTCTAACCGCTTGCCCTCAACCAGGCGTGGATCCAGATGCTATCCTTGAGGCTACAATTGAGGCCCGGCGCTGTGGAAATCTGTCAACATAGGGTCACATATAGAAACATTAGGGTTTTGCGGGATTATACGTCGTCATCATTAGCATTGTCCGTCCTTTGGGTACTGCCTGCACTACATAGCTGGCAGTGTCCGAATTGTGCTTATCACGAAAGCAAGCTCCTTGGAGCTTTCCAGAGCTCTCGTTTGATGACCAGACCTTCTGGGGCAACGAAGAACTTTTCGAACCATGTGGTGCGGGGTGGCGGCCAAACCCACCGAAAATGCTTGATATCCTGGCGCCCCACCTTGATAGAGACAAAAAATTTGAAGAGGGTGGGGGGCCCATCCTGTCCCCGACCTTCGTGTCTCCCGCCCCGGCCTGTGGATCCCCTGGATTTGTTAGATTTTTTGCGACATTTTGTCAAGTTTCAGTTGCTTTGTCATGAGAGAAATCCCGAGGGACAGAATCAAGGGGCAAGATTATTTCCAAAAGTGACCGACCAGGATAATATGAACTCTGAATTATGTCGTATTTTTCAGGGAGGGGATCATTCTGCGGAATGACATATTTGATAAGGGTTTTGCCAGGTCCAGGGCACAGCACAGATGTCATGAAGTTTTTGTTAGACAAATGATGGCCAGCACAATTACAATGAAGAACGTGCATGAGAATTTGGGTTTTCCCGGATGTTCTACTCTTGAACAGTGTTCTTGGCTTCGTGCTGAGGAATGTAGGTGCAACAATCCAGAGGCTATCCAACTGGAATTAACAGGTTCCTGAATCTTTTACTTTTCTCTTGTTGTTTTCGTTTCAAAAGAATATAAATGATGGAAAACTCACATAGTCTAACCAGAATTAGAGATCTCCTGGATGTTCCAAATTAGACGATGCTTGCCTGAAGAGTCGAACGGCTCTCCAAACAATTTTTGCAATCATTATCGCATGATTTCTCGGACCATTGATCATGGATGAGGAGGCAAGGGGACGGGAGGGATACCTCTCATTATGGGGAAGCGACTGCAGTTGCGGAGTCAGTACATAATTGTCACAGTTTCTGCATGTCTCCACCGTACATTTACTAGCTTTCGTCAGCACTGATCTTAAGTTTTGTTCTTATGGCGTTATTTCTTCTCTAATTCCACTGATTCTATTGCGCCTGTGATTGTCACTGGTGTTGTCATTTTGCTGCTAGTATTGTGGGGCTTGTTTGTCTCTGTGGAGGTGAAGCAGCAGTATTATGTCAAGGCCTGCGATGCTGGAGCGTGAGACTTGCAAGCCTTTTGTTAGGTTTGAGCTGCCCGGCTCAAGGTTTGGGGCTTATGTATCTATATATATATGTGTATCTATCTATCTATCTCTCTGTCTCTTTTTTTCTCTCTCTCTCTCTCTCCCCCTCTCTCTCCACGTATATTTACATACATATTTTACATGCTCTCATTTCCTTAACTCCATGACCTTGAAACCCTGAAGGAATGGAAAAGAGCATGGAAACCATTGTTGCATTATTGGGGAATATGTGGCGGATGCTGCGGCACTGTAGGGATCCGGATCCTGCAGGAACCCATCGCAGCGCTTGTCTTTTCATGTCAGGGCCCTTTGTCAGCAGGCCATGGAGGAATGGATCTCAGAGTAGTCCCTGTATCATCCCCAATACTAAAGTAGTAGACGTTTTCTTTTTCATTCCTCCATTCCCTGCTAGCAACCAACAAGTGACTCCTGTCGACGCTCTAGCACACTGCCTGCTCTCCATCCCCCGAAGCAATCTAAGAAGTCCCCCATGTCTTCCATGCAACAAATTTCCGGCATAAAGAGATCTTCCCAGATGATGGGCTTTGCTTCCTGCGGGACGAAGACAGAGAAGATTCAGTTCAGTGAGCCGCCCTGGGAGCATGTCCCTTGCCAGACTTGGGACCTTCGGTTGTAGGGTATGAGGTGCGAAGGACTTGGATGCAGTGAGGACTTTCTATTCACTTCACCTACAATCGGCATCCCTCCTTGAAAGGATGTGAGCCGAGGATTCGCAATTCCACGACTGCAGGTTGATCTGAGCAGGGTTTAGGACTTTGGGGTTGCAGGGGTCGTTTTGCAATGTCTCCTTGAACATGTCACTTGAACAACTTGGTGGGTACTGGTGTCTGGATCGTGATGATTTCAATATCTTTTTGGCAATGGGAATGCATCGCGGTCTTAGCAAGTACTCATCTGAGGGATGCACCAATCCTGTGACGTGCCATCATCTGCAAAGGTGGCCTTGAAGCCCATCGACAAGGCGTGCCGACAGTTCGGTATCTGTTGTTCGGTATCTGTGATGCACTGGGCAATGCCCCGCGCATGCATTTGTGCGGGTGCTGTTGAGCAGCTGACCTGCGGCCCAATAGGTATGCGCTACGTAATATGGGGTTTTGCGTTTTCAAAGGCAAAGACGCTGTTTTAGGAAGATCTTAAATCCATGGCACGAGTGCAAGAGTGAACATTAGGATCAATGCTATTGCCCTGAGGCTCCTGAACCCTTCGTGCCCGACACCCTGCTCCAATCCTCTAATCGCTAATCTTGACGCCCCGAACCCGGGATGACCTGCATTCTGAAGTCATACATGGTAAAGACCAAAGATCCTCGGATCCCAAATGCACTTAGACCTTGAATCCCAAATGTCCAGGCCACTGACCTCCAAAATCCAGCAGCACCAGCAAACCGTGCCTGGACCCCAAACCCGAAACTTTTTAACCCATACCGCAATCACCAAACTGTTTTTCTTCACACCTTGACAGACCTAGTCTCTGGAGGCCTACCCGAAATCCTAACAATCCCAAATACCTTCTCGGCCTTTTGTTTATGATCAAGTGTAGTATCTGTTCTTATCAG